AAGAAGGATGATGAAAATCTTCAGTGAGAATTTATTCTAATAGAATAAGAAAATTGGTGGAAGAGAGAAGGAGGTGCACAAGTGAGGGACAGGAAGATCTGGCTGAGCCTGTGGCAGGCTTTGTCTCCCTGTTAGAGTCTTTGGTTATCAGCAGGTCAGTGGCATGCTGGCACATACGTGTCTTTCTCTTGATTGATTCCAGTGAAGAAATAAATTTCCTACCAACATATGTTTTTTAAAAAGTTGACTTAGAATATCTTTGTTGTTTAGCATGATTTGATTATGCTTTGTACAATTTTCAATTATCCAGATAAAAATTTGTCTTGAATGGGCTACTGGATTTCTGGCCTGCCAAGCTTACGAATTCCAGACACATTGTCTTGTCTTCACATGCAGAAATTTGCATCAGTGGACTAGTATATCAGGAAGCCTTCATTACAAAGATAAGAAGATGTACACTAATTCAGGGCATTTAGAATCAACACATAAAGCTGATATAAAACTCTATCCAGGATAATACAAGAGGTGCTCTATCACCATTGTTTTTTGTGGCTGAGGTAGAACTCCATGGTATACATATACCATATTTTATTAATCCACTCATGTATTGATGGGCACTTGGCTTTATCCTGTATAGACCTGTAGCCCATTCTACTAAGTGAAGTATCACAAGAATGGAAAAATAAGCACTACATGTACCATGTTTCCCCCCAAATAAGACCTACCCATAAAAAAGCCCTAGCAGGATTTCAAAGCATTTGTGCAATATAAGCCCTACCCCAAAAATAAGACCTAGTGATGGGCGTGGCTACGCAGCATATCTGCACAACCCATGCATTTCATTGTGGAGAGGTAAAGAAGATGAGCAGCCCTTCTCATCTACCCCATTGTGACAGCTACTAACCCAGAGGTGACCAGAAAGGTGCGGGCAGCCCCACCAACAAGGTCGGCTACCCCTGTCAGGTCCTGGCCATCCTGTGCGTGCTACATGCTGAAGCTTTGAGGGGAAAATAACACATCCCCTGAAAATGAGCCCTAGGGTGTTTTCTTCACGAAAAATAAATATAAGACCCTGTCTTATTTTCAGGGAAACACGGTACTCACCATCAAATTGGTATTAACTGATCAACACTTAAGTGCATATATAGTAATAACATTCAGCGGGTGTCAGGCAGATAAGAGGCGGGAGTAGGGGATGGGTATATACACACCTAAAGGGTGTGGTGCATACCATCTGGGAGATGGACATGCTTGAAGCTCTGACTCAGGTGGGGCAAAGGCAATATATGTAACCTAAACATTTGTACCCCCATAATATGCTGAATAAAAGTTTTTTTTAAAGCTGATATAAAGTCAACGATGTGCCACATAAAGAGAATTGGTCTCTCTTCTGCTATTTAGAGTCCTAATCATTTCATTGAGACACTGGGCCATATGTTGTTAACTTTCACATTGGAAGAAATTCAAAGACTTAGCAAAAGAAAGTTCTAACTCACTGGAAAATATTAAAACCTACATTCAATATAATTTTTAAAATTTCCTAATTGGATACTAAGTGCTTAGACCTACATTGGACATTGAATAAAGTTTTTTAAAAAATTGTTTTCTTTCTACATCTAATAGCATATATATTTGCTATGAAAAAATTAAATAATAGCATAAGGCAGTAAATAATTAAGTTCTCAATTAGATCACATTGTATAACAGGTTGTTGTTTTTTTTTTCCATAGTAAGTATGTGATCCTCTGTGAAGAACAATGGAGATAACACAGGGGTAAGTTGTCAGGTAGAGCTGTATTTACTATCATAATATAAAATAAGATGACTAGAAATGACCCTTGTCTCACCCAAAATAGAAGGTTTAGCTGCAGTGAGAGAAAGATCTAAAATTAAGTACCTCTCCAGGTGAGTAGAAAACATCCATAGAAGATGCAATAGCAGACAACAGGTGAGAGCTAAGACTAGCAAATGGCCTCAAAGAGGTCCTATGATTATAGATATAATCAGCAGGACAGTGGAACAAATGGTGGAGGTCCTTGGATAAAGCAAAATGCAAAAGGTCTAATAGGCACTATTGGGAAAATCTGAAGTCTGAAGGCAGACTCTCAGCTGTAGAGCTGGCTTACAAGTTCTCTGGGGAATACAGGAAAAAGCTAAAATCCCAAGCATAAGAAATTGGGCATTACAAGTATTTAGAACAGGGCATAAGATTTTGGAGAACAAGACAGGGATCTAGTCACTAACATAGGGGTCCAAAGTCAGGATGTAGCGTCAGAAACAAGACAGTATAACCTAGTGATCCAAGGCACAAGACTGGACCCAGGCATGCAGGACTAGTAACTAATATTTATACACCACACTGTATAATTTCAAAGTATTTTCACATTATATGGGTTCCTAGATCATCTATTTATTTAATAATAAATGCACCTACCATGTGCCAGGAACTGTGGCAGAGATGAAGGAACCCAGAGATGAAGAGGACATAGCCCCAACACTTAGGGGAGAATGGCAAAGTGCAAAGGACTGACAGGTAAACAGACTGGACAGAATGCAATAAATCCTGGACATCATGCAGAGTCTATTAGGAGAAAGGAGTCCAGCCTATCCTCTTTCCTTTTTTGTAGTCTTTGTAACTGACTGAAAAGCTCACCAGTGACAGCCTTGGAACTGATGATAATGACTTAGAATCATTTCACCTACCCAAAACCTAGCATTTAGATTTCCATACAAGTGAACATTTAATTTCTGTCCCACAGGGCTGCACTTAGAGCAAAGGATCATTTTAAAATTCCATAGAATAGGCCCTGCCATGCGGATCACCAGAGGCCTTGGAGGTGGATGGGCTCTAATGAAGTGCGATGTGACTTGGGTAATGTAGAGCTCTGAGGAAAGACCTCATACAAATGTTGGGTGATGAACTAATTTTTTTTTTTTAAATGAAAACTTCAGCGTCAATGAACATAGGAAGACTAAAACAATAAAAACATAAGGTTCAGGCCAAGAGATATCTTAGGATTTGGGTAACTTTGAATATTTTGATCCCAGTTCCCCTCCTCCCCCAGCCCTTCACCCAAATGTTCTGTTGCTAAGACAACAGGATGCTAGCAGGCATATGCATGTGTCTGCTCCCTGCATGCTGTTGCCTAGCAACGGGACTCAGCAGAGCCTGGGCTCTTGCTCTTTACACCTACCCGGCTCCATCCATTGCCTTGACTTGCCAGTTGCTTCTCCCACCCCCAAGGCAAAGAAACAAAAAGCAAGAGGGTGCAAGAGGCTCAGGATCTGATCTTGTCAACAGCCTATTGTCAACACCAGGAGAAAACCCAAGCCTGGCTTCACTCAGCTTAACCCCTACACCATGAAGTTATGAAATGTAAACTGACAATTACAGCTGAATGGAAATGAAGTGATTTGACATTCTTAGTATTTGAAATCCAGTTAAGCAGTCTCACCCTGTAATAACCGAAGGGATGTGGTGATGAGGAAAATACTGAACCACTGAGGCAAAATTAATGGGAATATTTTACATTGGGAATAAGATAACAAGGAGATTTTCAAAGAAAGAAGAAAATGAAGGGAAAATAAATTAAGGAGGAAAAAATAAAGGGTGGAAAAGAAGAGCAAGGAAGATAGGAGAGGCTTTTAACTCACAACAAACCTCTTTAGAATGTGATGGTGTGTAAACTGGAAAAATCTGTAACATTACATAGACTAGGATGTCATGCCTAAAACAATAACAGTAGAGCATACTGAAGTTCTTCTTAATACCATATATTACATTACATAAATTATTTCCATTTTCACAATAGCCCTGCAATACAGAGCTTAGAAAAGTAATTTTACAGCTAGGAATCAAAATAGTTAAGTGACGTGACCAAGGTCACAAAGCTGGTAAATGCAGTAAAGCTAATAAAAATAGGTAATATTTAAACCAAAATTAGTCTGACTCAAAATTCCACATGCCTTCTCAACATGTACTATGATAAATATCTAGGAAAATGTACATGAATCTTGTAAAATCACACAAATTTGTTAAATTGGGGACCTTTTAAAGGAGCTATAAATATGTTTTATATAACATTAAAGAAATAGCTTTTTCTTCATAGCTTTAATGCGATAACTTATGAAAAGAAAATCATCTTGCCAAACGGGAAAGGGAAAGCTGATCCTTTAACAAAATGTTCAGTAAAAAGAGTTTAAAGCCCTTTTGAAGAAGCTATAGAAAAATTCTAGAATTACTCCTTTTGAAAAGAAAGTTTGAATTTTGAAAATGCTTATGAAAGTATGGTAAACTGTGCAGTGAATAGCACAAAATCAATTGCTTCAGGAAAGTCAAATATAAGCAAAATATAAGGTTCCTCTGAAATCTTGGTTAAGACTCCTTTTTGGAAGCAGCACAAAGCCCTAGGTTAGTCAATGAACATGGAACAAAGTGCTGACAGCAGGATACACGGGTATTCAGTGCTCTTGTCTCAGATCTTCAAACCTCCATGCACATAGAAGACATATGACATGCTGGCCCCATCAGTCAGATAGATGTGCCCAAGCTTGTTGACCTCGACTTAAACCAGTCACCTTACCAGATACCTATATTCCTCATTCTAAGTGGTGAGTTCAGGCACGCTTAGAAAGTCCTTTTGTCATATTCTTTACTTCCTGAGGTAAAGGACCCCTTCTAAATATTTATAGGGATCAGGCTGACCCTAACTGACTATTAGTGTCAAGATGCTGGTGTATGGAGCGCACAGAATCAGGTTAACAGGTTAACAGCTTCATTAAGGAGTCTGCTTAAGGATCAGAGCCAAATACCTTCTTGTGCAGAGCATAAGCCAGAGTGGAAACACAAAACAGGCTTTCCAGCTTTTCTGCACAGAGCTACAGGAAGTGACTATGTTGCAGAGCTCTAAAGTAATATAATGATATAATAAAGTAATATAATAATATATAAAGTAATGCCTATCATGTATAAAAATACAATGGGCAAAACATACCCACTGTCCCACAACGTCCATTCTATCTTTCTTTTACAGCCACATGGCCACTCAGACAAGAGTCTGGCCAGTAAGGTGTAAGTGGAATTGTTGTGTGGCAGTTTCTGAAACTCTTTAAGAATCAGCTATTGTACTCACTTTGCCCCTCTTATGTTCCCTCCTCTTGTCCACTACTGCAGTGTAGATGTCATCTCAGATTATGAGAGAGAGAGCCACAACTAGTGATGACAGAATAAGGAGCTTGAAGGCGCTTAAGTCCCTGAGGCACAGTGGAACAAAGCCACTCTGCCACTCAGGACTCATACCACCACATTTTATATAGGAGAGAAGTAAGCTTCTATCTTTTTAAAGCTTCTATTTGTTGGATTTTTATTGTTACTTGCAGCCAAATTCAATCTTAAGTAATATCCAGAGATTATAGCATAGCCCTTGTAACCTAATTGGCTATCTAGGCAGGTAAAAATTTGAATGGCACATAGCAGAGAAGAAATCCTGAATAGAAATGAGGGTCTGAATTGTCCCATGATGAGACATGCTCATCTTTCTTCGGTAATCTAAAGAACACTTACCATTGTTTTTAAAGATATAACTTTTCTCAATGATATATTTTTTCTCATAGTATAAAGAATAAGATGTTCTTTTCTAAGAGCTATTGTGACTATAGGCTTGTACTAATAACAAACCAAAGCTAGGGGCCAATGGTGAAACTCATCAACCTTCGAGGGATGGTCACGCTTGAAGCTCTGACTCGAGGGGGGAGGGGGGCATGGGCAATATACGTTACCTTAACATACGTTACCATAATATGCTAAAATTAAAAAAAGATATGACTTAATGTCTTCTCAATGTTTAAAGGAAATGTGTACACTGAAAATTTGTATGATCTACAGCAGTTCTGTCCAATGGAAATATAATGCCAGCCACAAATGTGAGACATATGCCATTCTAAAATTTTTAGTAACTACACTTAAGTAAAATAAGCATAATTTTAATAATGTATTTTATTCACTCCAATGTCAAAAATATTACACAAATTATACAGTAATATGATCCATGTAAAATATCAATATATTTGACATTTTACTTTTTTGTACAAAGACTTCACAACGCGGTATGTATTTTGCACTTACAGTACATTTCAATTTGAGCTAGCCATGTTTCAGATAGATATTCATTAACCACTATGGCTAGTGGCTACCATACTGAACAGCAGAGATCTAGAGTATGTCATCTATTGCTTAGTAGAAATATTAATGATAATATTTTTGAAATGCCTTGCACCTCTAAAGTTTTCCCAGCCCAACCAAGGCTCCTCCCTTCTTGTCATAATTGTACACAACCATAAAAAGTGAAGGTGATTATTTGTACATAGCTACCAAAATAGTTACACTATTATTATCACTCATAATCATTTATTCAAATCTTACCTATGAAGAGGTTTTCCTTTTGTGCCAACCTTATATTTACTGCTGCATGTAAGCCTGTTCTTCTGGTTCTGTCTTCCACAGGCAAGAGACACAGTGATGCAGCTCCTCCACATAATAACCCTGCCTGTAAAGAAGCAGAGAACTCCAGAGACATTCTCCACTTACCAAGGTGCAAAGGTGGTGATGATTTAGAAGGACCAAATCCCAATCGCAAAGCATTCAGTCTCAGAATTCCCTTCTGCCAGCTCACTCACACCTACTTCCATTTTTCAGTGTAGTTCTAAGGCCACAGACACTGTGATAGTTTTCCTTTAACCACAAAGCAATGTTGAACATAACTTCTGACTCTGAGGTCTACTGATACATTAGACCTTTAAAAAGAAGAATTGGAAGAAAATGAGGACTAGGAGGAGAATGATGAAGAGGATGTGGAAAGATCTAGAAGCAGTAGCCGAAGAGGGAGAATAGGAAGAAGTATGTTATGTCCATGCAGGAGGCAGTCACATCATTTGAGATCTGAGACTGGAACAAAAACCTGATAGAAATGTCTACTTCAACTACCTGCCTGGTTAGAAGTTCAAGCACCAGTGATACATTTCTTCTAGCTAAACTAAGAGCCCATGCATGCATACTTAGTTAAAAGGCAAATAACCCTAGAAAGTAAAATACCAAATCTTCAAGTCTCACTACATTTTCATTCATCAAATATAGGTAAATTGGTCAACTCAGCAGGCCCTAGAGAGGCAGACATGGGTTCTGACAAGCATGATGGGAACATTTAGGAAACAGGAGCCACAGCCATGCAGGCATTACTGTGATGACCCAGGAGACAGAGAGAAAGGGTCACCTGCAGCAGATGAGGATCTGACGAGAAAACAGAGGTTACCAAACCCCAACCTTTCCAACCATTCATTCCCCAGCCCTGCCCAGGACCTCCACTGTTTACTACAAATATGTGACTTTGAGTTATCTGTACTTACTTCTATGTGATGAGTCATTGTCACTTCAATTCTCATGTTTTATTAGGATCAGCTTCTCTTCCTAGGGCCCAGTGAGCTTCTAGCCTTCCAGTTTGCCTAACCAATCATAATGAAATAAACCACTAACTCTTTGGACTTTTAAAATTCAACTGGACAGTCAGTTAAAAGCTGATACTTGACAACAAAGTTCCAAAATTTCTGAGTACTAGGAAAGACCCGACAGTTGAAAATTTGGAAAAATCAATGGATATTGATCACTTCATAGCTCATGAGAGGTTATTTATTCAGTCATTCAACAATGGTTGAGTTGCTACTGTGTGCCTGGCCCTGTGCTCAGAGCACAGCAGTAAGTAATAGACATGGTAACACATAGCTGTGTTGGCTGCTATCACAGTGGTGCCCCCCAGGCAGAGAAGGGGAACAGAATTGGATGCTGGTTTCAGGAAATGTAGGCAGCCAGGGATTTGGTCCCTTCCTTTCTCATAGATCCATGTGTCTCTCTCCCCACACTGCCTTCTCGGAGGAACAATGTTCATCAGCCATGAACATAGAAACAGTGAGAGTCCTTGCCAGAAAGCAAAGAATGAGGATAAGGGAAGTACAGGAGGAAAGAAGGTAGGACTAGAATCAAAGCTGACTTGAAGTCCTCCTTTTCCAGTTATTCTCAAACAGTAAACACCTTAGAGGTAAGACAGGAGGAATTTAGCTTTTTCGGTGCCATGTCTTTTCCATTTTTCTCTAAGCAAGTACCATGCGATAAATAGGACCACTCCTAAGTATAGGCACCCACCTCAGTGTCAGTACAAACTTAGTGTCATCCTCAAGTGTCCCTAGAACCTGAGGCTGTGGCAGTGAACTTTAGACTAACAGAAAGATACTGGAATGGTCTCTAATATACTTATTAAAGGAATAGGTCCTCTGTGTGCTATATCTGATTATATTTTTTCAGTGATTTTCACCTTCATTTCCAACACATGTTCTTGACAAAAGCAAAGAAAGAGAGAGAGAAGTCTCCAGTGCATTACAAAAGTTGCATTTGAGAATCCTAATATCCACTTCAAGGTGCATTCCTCTTTGGTAAACATGCAGTCTGTTTGCATTTAATTCTTCCACACAAGCCCTGCAAGAAAGTTAGCCAAATTGATAATCGATTCACATGATCTTTGCTCACTCATTTATTAAAACACACCAAACAGTTAATTCCCTTTTCTGTTGGGAGCTCTCACTGGCTCTACGTGGTTTGAATGTTAAACAGCCACTCAGGGCTCCAGGAAAAAAGCAAAGCTATTAGGTGGTAACTGTTTCAAACTATTCAAAACAAGTCTCAAAGATTAAGGGCCTCACTGTTCCTTCAATAAAATTCCTCTAGTTAATTTTTATTGATCTGATGATCAACCAACAGATGATAAAGAAGATCTAAAGATCTCAAAAGGTTATCATTTAGTTGACCAATCCACTTTCTCCCTCTCACTTTGACTACTGGAGAAAGAAGAGAGAAAAGAGTTTTTGAATATACTTCATGTCCCCAGATATGGGATAAGACCATTAGACACATTGGCCAATACCTTACTGATATACTAATTCAGTGCTAGGAGCTGATACAGAGATAGGTATATATTGATAGGTCGATTAGGTATAGACATAGATATAGATGTAGATATCATCCACTTCTTTAGCCTGATCCAGAGGCTAGTATCAGGGACCCTAAATAATTTGTGGTGTTAGAAGGAAACCAACAGATTATAAGACTATATATGCCAAGTCCTCATCTTCACATATGAGGAAACTTAGGCTTCAGCAGTTATTTGGTAGCCAAGCTATGACTCTTAGCCAACTGTCCCAAATTCTAGTGTGATGCTCTATTTCCTTTTTGCCTACTGACCTAGATGTAGTAATGAAGATATATCCTAGAGCTTTTCTGAAAAGCTTGGTTTACTTTTCCTACAACAGTGTAGTACAAATGCTCAACTTTTCCCTGACACTCAAGCAATTTCATTTCATCTTTATTCATTTTTTTTACTTACTCATTCATAGGACAATCACTTATAGAGATCCTATTGTGTGTCAGGCACTATAGTAAGGCCTTAGAAACATCAAAAATAAATTAAAACTTTTCAGTATGATGGGAAATATACATAGATAATGATACAATTAAATTACAATTCAACAAGTAGTAATGGAGATATTTATAGAGCAATAAAAATGCACAGGTGTAATAACTAAACAAGGAAACACTAAAGTACATAGTAGATGCTCAATAAAGGCAAATCCATCTCCTCTATACAGTAGTTAACAAATGATAGCTACCTCAGTATTTTGGGGGAAGCTTTATTAATATACTGTAGTGCAGCTCCAGAATCTTTATTTTTATTGTTTTCTGGGATTTTCTGATGCATCACAAGTTTTAGGACTCTAGCTTGAACTAATACAGGAGAAGAAAGTTCTGAGAAGTTTCACAAAGGATGTGATGTTCAAATAGAGTTTTTAAACACAAAAGCAGGGACTTAAGAAAATTATCCATAAGGGTACAATGTGAAATTATAATTTTTCTATAGCTTTTCACATGGTAGAACTAGGACTAATGCATTAAAGTTAATATTTAATAAGAAGTTCTTAGGCAGCTGTTTTAAAATGCATGGCCCTCTCTGAGAGGGAAAGAGCAGCCCAGCACTGGAAGTATTCAAGCTCGGTTGTTTGGCTATAAAGCCCTTGGTTCTTTTCTACTTAGGTCTTCATCATTCACTGTGCCTGTTGGCTTTGCCAATGAATGAATAATAAATACAATTGAATGTATGAATAAATGAATAAATACATATAATTGATTTTTTCTTTTGTAATATTAAAGCTAGACTTTAAAGCTACCCTTATTATTTCTGGTTAAGAAACTGAGATCAAGGGCTGGGTCTTAGGCATTTTTGCAACCTCATTCTCAACTAGCTTTTCACAGAGAATATGTACAAAAAATGTTTACAAAATGCTGACTGAACCTCTATTAAATCCCATCTTGTTAGTTTTACCCATTGTTTATGGATTTTGAGACTCTTTTGTAGCTTGGCCAATTATAGAAGGGAAGTGTAGAGGCACTGAACTCCAAGATCTCTTCAAACTCTGAAATCAGTGATGCTGTGAATGGGCAGAATTTCTATGAATTTATTAAAATTAAATTGTGTCTATTGAATACACTAATGGCAGTCCACTTTTCCTAGGAGGGAAGTGTCAGAAAATAAAAGGGAAACTGCCCTTAAAGGTACTTAATTCAGCTCAATAAACAGGTGCTAAGCATCTCCTCTGTGCCAATAATGCAGAGTCAGAGTTCAGCAAAGTCTGACGTTGCCTCAAAGTGCCTAGTGTCAACTAGTATCAACTATTACTTTCATCTAGTGTCATCTAGTATCAACTATTACTTTCCTCCATTAGATATCTACACCTTTAGCCAACCAAACACAGGCCTTACCCTTTGAAAATAAAGGGAAGTTGCTTCTAGCTTTAATACAGAATTATATGCCAAGAGACACATAGAATAGATAAGATAATAAACAGATAAATATTGAATGCTCTCCATACAAAAGAGGAATGCTTTTTTCAGTGATTGCCAGATTCCTCAGCCAATCCAAGAGTTACAACCCAAAGCAAAAAGCAGGTAGCTGAAATAGAGTGGTACTTTCTACGGAAGTCTTAAGGGTAGATATGTAAAAAAGTGACTGGCGGCGGGAGGGGAGCATTAAGGGGCCCTGCCCTCCCAACACAGAAGCAAGTGGCTCCACACACACATGCTCAATTGCTGAAGCAGTGGTCATTTAGTATCTTCCACTCCACCTCCCCAGCCCCAGGACAGCTATCTCTAGGGCCCCCAAATATCACTGCCACTCAGTGGCCTGACAGCCCTCGTATTTTTTTAAGCAAATGAAGAATAAAAGGCTTTGATCTTTTCCTTCTGCAGATGTCTACCCTCCACCTGAGCGCAAAAATGTATAACTGAAAATGAGACTATTTGTTTCTGTACAAAGTAAGAAAGCCCAAGAAAAACTTTTAAAGTGCTACAAGTTCTATTCAATGCAGAAGACAAAAATGATTCTTTATTAAACAAAATTAAATATTTTCCAAGCTTTTATACTTTTCTCTACAACCCTCTTCAAGTTTAA